TTTAACCAGCTACAATAATCACAATCCAGCGCCTAACTGAACAAGCCACGTTTTAATGTTAATATATTTAATATCTTAAATTATAAAGCCTTCTTTAATATATATTTTCTCTTGTTTCCAAATTATTAGAAATGTGATGAGTTTTTATATTAACCGACATATCTGGTCCATCCATTTCACCCTACTACAAACATACATTGAACTCTTGCCTTGTACTTAGTAGTGCCCTTGTCAGTGATGATATAACAATGCAACAATGAATAAGACACAGGTCTTGACCTTAGAAATTTTATCATATACTGTATTCACAAATTCATTTCTGTTTATTAGGTATGATATGTGAAACAATCTTAATCTTCTTTCATGATTCCTAAATGTTTCCCCCAACATCTCTACATTATAAATGTTATTTAATATCATATGTATTAGAGAATACCAATAGTGTTGAAAACTATTCTGTAAAGCTTTGCAGTTTCATACCAATCCTCAAACATCTCCTTCTGATAATATCAACACTCTCTTCAAAAAATTTCTTTTTACTCGTTTGACTACCTAAGGAAGCATTCATTTTTTAAAAACCTGTCCCTATGATGTAGCCAAGGGATCATTTACTCTACCTCCTTCTTCATATCTCACAATTACTTGGCTTATGTCATACCCAACATCATACATGAATTCATTCTTAAAAGTCACTAGGGAAATGTTTATTCTTCAATATAAAGTCACAAAGGGATACTTCAGCAGACCACCTGACTTTCTGATCTATGTATCTATGTAATACTGAAGCAATGACTTTGGAATTGAGCTTCTGGTAAGTTTATTTGCATAAATTTCCTGGATAAATGTCATTTGTTCTAATTATTTTATTCCATTTGTTGAAATTTTTGAACAATCAGTGAATCTTTTGAACAAGAGTAAGGATTTTATTTTCTATCAGGGCAAGTTTCAAAACACTTAAAAATTGCAAAATGTCAATAATACAGTTGTTCCTTCAAATGACTGTGCACCCAAACACTACAGAAAATACGAAGTTAACTCCCACGCACAGGATGTGCAAAATAGGAGGGAACCCTACACAATCCTTCAGACATGCCCTTTTTATAACTAACAAATGATTTATTGTGTTTTCCACTCTCATGTGATGACAAATAAATGGTAAGCACCGTTAAAATGCTATAACAAGGAATACAGAAGACATAAAATCTAGATGGAATCATTTTTAGTTGAATTGATGAGCTTGTTTAGAATCTGTTTACATGAAACTACTTTTTTTTTAAACTACATTCTCAAACTCTCTCACCATGAGAACATTTCACATGGCTGTCCAATCAAAACAGCCCATTGGAACTTAGTGAAAACATGTTCTTCTTTATGCTACAAAATGACATTTTATTTAAAGTATGATTTTGTTGTTTTTATGGGGGGGGTTGATGGACATTTCAGGCTTTAGATTCTACGTCTTCTTTAGTATGAGCTTTTGGAGACCAATGACACATAAAGGAACCAGTCTCACCTACCACCAAAATCCATCCTTTCAAATGTATTTATGTTTTAAAATATAATAAGTATTAAAATTTGATAATTTATAATAAAATTAAAATTAAAATTGAAGGGTACTGATGCAAGCACAAGGCTTATAAAAGAGGTTTAAAATGAAGAAATCCTCAAAGACCTAGAAAACTTCAAGACCTTCAAGATCCAAATCCTAAACAGATTTCTAAAATTCTGAAATGTATTTTACGTTTACCAAGCTAATACAAGGATTTAAAAGTCTCAGTTATATATCCCCTATTTATACAACAAACTTACCATATGTGGTTGGGTAACTACTTCTTAAGTGAATGAGTGATAAGTGGTAATTATAGTAACATACAAAGGATTTTATTTTTAAAAATTTTTAAAGTAATCTCTACATGTAAAGTGGGGCTCCAACTCACTACCCTGAGATCAAGAGTCACGTGCTTTGCCAATTGAGCCGGCCAGGTGCCCCATATATGGAAGATGTTAAAAGGTTGAGAATCAATGTTTAAACAATCTTGTCCGAGCCTTTGGAGAGCAAATGAAACCAACTATCATGATTAGAGCTCAATTTTATAGTATCACCACTAAAACAAACCAAAAACTTTGTGGTACACTTTTTCAAAATATTTTGAACTGTCTCTGCAATGTATGTCCGAAAACTTAAATTTATAAAAAATATAATTCCCCTGAGAATTAAAACGTACACAGAACTGAACTCACCTGAATAGAAGCAGCTTCATCCTTACATTCATGAAAATCTACGGATGTTAATAAGGGATCATTTTTCTCACAACTCTCCAGACTGATAAGTGTGTCCACGTAGTTGGGATGGGGGAAAATCTCGTGATTCGCCTGTGAGTCGGCGGTGAGGGAGACCTCGTGGGAATACTTCTCCAGGAAAGCCTGCACCCCGTCCACGCCCACAAAGTGCGAGGCGGGCACGCCCACCAGCCCGCCTCCTGAAGCCTGAAGCAGGCGCGTGGAGTGCCAGCGCCTCAGCCTGAGAGCCAGCAGCACAATCACAAAGGCAAGGAAGACACAGGAGACTGCGGCCACTGCCACCACCAGGTACAGCGTGAGGTCAGAATCGTCTGAGTTAGCAGAGGTCCTGACGCTACCCAGGTCGGCCAGGACAGCTGGAATGCTGTCGGCCACCACCACGGTGAGTGTGACGGTGGCCGAGAGAGGGGGCTGGCCATGGTCCTGCACCGCCACCACCAGGCTCTGCTTGAGTGCATCTCTGTCCTGCAGGGCCCGTGCTGTGCGCACCTCGCCCGTGTGCAGCCCCACCGTGAAAAGTCCTAGCTCACTGGCCTTGAGCAGGCGGTAGGACAGCCAGGCATTCTGGCCAGAGTCTCTATCCACCGCCACCACCTTGGTCACCAGGTAGCCACGCTCTGCGGATCGGGGCGCCAGCTCCACACCTGTGGAACCGTCCGTAGGGAGGGTGGGGTACAGGATCTCTGGCACGTTGTCATTCTGGTCCAACACAAATATGCTCAGAGACACGTTGCTGCTGAGTGGAGGGTCTCCGCTGTCTCTGGCAGTCACCAGTAGCTGCAAGTCTCGTAAGTGCTCATAGTCGAAGGAGCACAGTGCATATAGGATGCCTGTGTCTGAGTTGATGGAGACATAGGAGGAGACAGGTGACCCCATGATGATGTCCTCAGTCACAGAGTAAGTGACCTGGGCATTGTTGCCACTGTCAGGGTCGTGGGCCATCACAGTGAAGATGGAGGCACCTCTGGGGTTGTTCTCTGGGATATACGCTGAGTAGGAGGCATGAGGGAAAGTGGGTGGATTGTCATTGGTATCTGCCACATACAGGGTGATATGAATTTCAGTAGATAGAGAAGGGGTTCCTAGATCTGAGGCCGTCACTGTGATGTTGTACATAGGGATCTTTTCTCGGTCCAGATAGTTCCATGTCACCAATCTATAATAATTATCTATTGATTTTTCTAATTGAAAAGGTAGATTATGAGGTGCATAACAGACAACTTGACCATTCTTCCCGGAGTCTCGGTCATGCACATTCAAAAAGGCAATTACTGTTCCAGGAAGAGTATTTTCTAAGACTGGACTAAACAGAGATGTAATGATCACTTCTGGCCTATTGTCATTTACATCTTCCACTGAAATGAGCACTTTGG